AAAGACAATGAAGACGATAATGACCCAAGCCGTCGTCCCCCGTGGGCGAATTCACCCAACTTTTGCTTGCACGCTGCTGCTACAAGGACAATGAAGACGATAATGACCCACGCCGTCGTCCCCCGTGGGCGAATTCACCCAACTTTTGCTTGCACGCTGCTGCTACAAGGGACCACAATGAGAAAGCATATAAAGCATATGCTTAAACACCGGCCAGTATAGTTGCCCTAATAATAACCCCAGTTACTAAGTCCCATGATCCTTTAAGCAGCCGGCAAATGGTTTTTCGAAAGCAGCCGTCGAGTCTCTTGCTTGCTCCTGGCTTGTGTGTGAAAATGAATGCCTAAACCCTAAACCCTAAACCCTAAAACCCTAAACCCTGAACCCTAAATCCCTAAACCCTGAACCCTAAATCCCTAAACCCTGCACCCTAAACCCTAAATCCCTAAATCCTAAATCCCTAAACCCTAAACCCTAAACTCTAAATCCCTAAACCCTAAAGCATAAACTCTGACTCTCTCCTCTTTCTGTCTCATTCTCTATGCATGTACGTATGGATGCATTCTTTACATATGTACTGTTATACGTTTACATTTCTGTATGGATAAGGATAGAGATGAAGATCGAGACAGGTACAGATATTGCATATATATATATATATATGTATACATACACAAATACCCACATACATATATAAACGGAGAGAGCCAGGTAGATAGAGAAATTGATATGCACAAGTGTGTCTGTGTGTCTCAGCAGGTTCTGGCCCGAGGCTGAAGCAAACACATATATACAGACACCCAGACCCTCCCAAAATCCCTTAATTAAGGAATATATACCCTATTGCAGGGTTTAGGGTTTAGGGCTTAGGATAGCAGGAACGATAGTATGATTTAAGGTATGTTCCTTAATTAAGGGATTTTGGGAAGGTCTGGGCACATGTTGATACGTCAGTCGTGATTTGCAGAAGTAGATGAAGCTCCCTAGACATATAGGGTCATACGGTCATGTGGTTGGTGCAATTCTTCCCGATACTTCGGAGCCCCCAAAAACCCTATTCTAATTATTCAGGCCCCTATATTAGCCACAAATCCCCGACTTTCGCCAGACAGAGCTCCCCGGCCTTCACCCGAATGTTTTCGAAGCGCTGCGCTCTTCGCAGCACCTCTGCCTTCCGCAACTTGCAGGTCTACCTTATAACCCACCAGAAAGAACCTGCTTTTTTTTGGGGGGGTCCCTATGAATCCCCGGCGAAGGTTTATAATAAGAACCCACAAAAAAAGAATGGGTTTTGGTAGGTCCTAAACCCTAAACCCTAAACCCTAAACCCTAAACCCTAAACTTATGAAATTCATATGCTAATAACAATAGGATTCCTGGAAACCATAGAAATCGAAAAAAAATAGAAAAAAAATAGAAAAAAAATCGAAAATAAATCGAAAATAAATCGAAAATAAAT